GAGCCGATTTCCCGCTCTTAACGTAATTTATACGGACCGGGTGGGGCCCACACAGCAGGTGGGCGTGGACTAATTTTTTTCAGTGCTTATGCTCTGCATAACGGGATAAACCCATCAGCGACAGCCTTAAAGGGCGAAGCCTATATGAAATAGAACAACAAGACTGGTATTTTCTCCCTAGCTTCATACAGTACTCTTGATGTGTTGTGTATGAATATTTATGTCCATCCATCCAGCCATTTTCTTCTGCTTATCCGGGGTCGGGTCACGGGGGTAGCAGCCTAAGTAGGGAGGCCCAGATTTACCTCTCCCCAGCCACTTGGGCCAGCTCTTCCAGGGGAATCCTGAGGCGTTCCCAGGCCAGCCGAGAAACATAGTCCCTCCAGCGTGTCCTGGGTCTTCCTCTGGGTCTCCTTCCGGTGGGACGTGTCCAGAACACCTCACCAGGGAGGCGTCCAGGAGGCATCCTAAACAGATGCCCGAGCCACCTCAACTGGCTCCTCTCGACGTGGAGAAGCAGCGGCTCTACTCCGAGTCCCTCCAGGATGATCGAGCTTCTCACCCTGTCTCTAAGGGAGAGTCCAGACACCCTGCGGAGAAAACTAATTTCTGCCGCTTGTATCCGAGATCTCATTCTTTCGGTCACAACCCAAAGCTCGTGACCATAGATGAGGGTGGGAACGTAGATCGATCGGTAAATTGAGAGCTTCACCTTTTGACTCAGCTCTCTCTTCACCAGCACAGACCTGTACAGCGCCCGCTTCACTGCAGACGCTGCACCTATCCGCCTATCGATCTCACGCTCCATTTTTCCCTCATTCGTGAACAAGACCCCAAGATACTTAAACTCCTCCACTTGGGGTAGGACCTCTTCCCTGACCCGGAGAGGGCACTCTACCCTTTTCCGGCTCAAGACCATGGCCTCGGATTTGGAGGAACTGATCTTCATCCCGGCCGCGTCGCATTCGGCTGCGAACCGCTCCAGCGAAAGCTGTAGATCACGATCTGATGAAGCCAATAAGACCACATCATCTGCAAAAAGCAGAGACGCAATCCTAAGGCCACCAAAACGGATCCCCTCAACACCTTGGCTGCGCCTAGAAATTCTGTCCATAAAAGTTATGAACAGAATCAGTGACAAAGGGCAACCTTGGCAGAGTATTTATGTGTTTACAGCAATTTAAAGAGATCAAGCCATTTGTGGCAGAGCTGAATCGTATTTGCAACAAATTCATCTACCAAGGTTGGAAGTTTGAAAAGTACAAATTCTGGAGGAGTTTCATCTGTGTATCTGTAAAGTCTGTCAAAAGAAATGTCTAACTCCAGGTGTTCTGTTGGTGTCCAGCTCCAGGCACGTCATTGTCAGCTGAACCTGGAAGAATAAATGTATAATGTTTTAATGAAGGTTTACGAATACCTGTCACATAATTTAATTTCATTTTTTTTCATTTACCCTTTATTTATACAGGTAGTCTCATTGAGTTACGAGAACTCATTTTCAAGACAGACTTGGTTAGGGAGCAGATGGTGGGGGTGTGGGGCCCAGAGTGGGGCAAATGAGTGTGGAGGCAGTTTGTTGAGAGTTTTGGGTGGTGTGCTATACAAAATGCTATTGCAGTAGTCTATTCTGGATGTGACAAAGGCATGGGGTGCTTCTTGTCCACCCCCATACACCTTCATCTGCGCAGCTACTACCTTGGTGACCTCAGCCCACTTTGTGAACAGACTGACCCTATAGTCCCCCAACTTTGATTCCTACATGGAAGACATGTTGATGGGATTGAGAAAGTTCGAGAAGCATTCCTTCCACCACCTGACGACATCACTGAATGATGTCAACATCAATCCGCCTCCACTACACACTGTGTTAGTAAAGTTTTTATATCCTTTTTATAACTGTTTATTGTTGTTGTTGTCCATTGTTGTCATCATGCTTTGTTAAATCAGGTCTCTCTTGTAAATGAGTCCTCCAGGCTCAATGGGATTTACCTGAATAAATAAAGGTTGAATGAATGGAAAAAAGTGCTGCTTTCCTCGTCTCAGCTGCCAGATGGTTTGCCAGAATTTCCCCTGAGCAGATTGTGAGTCTCTAGCCACAGCCTCAACAAACTCTTCTCACATCTGAGCGGTTGCCTTAGCACCAGACAGAGCTGCAGCGCACTTGGCTCACCGATACTCCTCAGCTGCCTCTAGAGTCCTACTAGTTAACAAGGCTGATAGGAATTATCCTTTAGTTGGAGGATCTCTCTCACCTGGGGTTTCAATCACTGGGTTTGAAGATGTCTGCCATGAAAGTCCCAGACAAATTTGTGGCCATAGCTGAAGGCAGCCACCTAGACATTGGAGGTGCATGGCCAGATTCAATGTCCTCCGCATTCACTAGGATGCAGTTGAAGCTGTCTCAGAGGTGGGATTTGAAGATCCTTCTGTCAAGCCAGTGTTTCCCCTAGGTCACTTGCCTTTGTAGGGCGCTCTTTTCTTTGGTGATTTTTGTCGACGGGGGTGGGGGGTGGAGATGGGGGACATATCTGTGTTGTGCGCTTGTATGTCAGTGCCATCAGCTGTCAATGGTGGAGAGGGGGATTTGTGGTTTAAGGACATGTACATAGACTGGGTGCCCTCCTTGGATAATGGTGGGGAAACACTGCAGGCATCCCCAGAAAACTGTTAGTACATGTTCAAGTTTACAGAGTCTGGCATCTTCCCCCGCCATCTGATCTAACTCAACACCATGTGGTGATCAGTTGACAGCTCAGCTCCTCTCTTCACTTGAATGTCAAACATCTGCAGATCAGATGGCACAACTACAAGGTCTATCATCGATCTGTGACCCAGAGTGAACTGGTGCCACATGCTCTAACGGACATCCTTATGACATCTATAGGACCAATCTAAAAAGCACACAGTGCGTCCATCCATTATCTTTACCTGCTTCTTTCTTTTTGGGTTGCGGGGGTCACTGGTGTGCATGTCCAGCTGTCACTGTACAAGAGGCGGGGGACACCCTGGATAGGTTGCAAATATATGAATCCTGCACCACAATAAACACTTTAATGTTTTCACATTAGGCATTTCACACGTCTGCACCTGACCTGTTTAGATCTTAATTGCTGGTATTTTTATTTTGTCTTGTTATTTTTTATGCTTTGAGTGATTCTTTGTGTATGTTCTTTTGTACTGAAACTCTGGCACAACAATTTCCTGCAGGATCAATAAAGTTCTATCTTATATATGTATAAACTGGAATACTCACGCATTAAGAGTTGCATTCGGGTCCAAAAAAATCCAACCTGGCCCTAACCCTTAGCCATCATCTCTGAACCCCACCCGATCCTACGATTTAAGAGTAATTACAGGTCCGAACCCTAACAACCCCCCCTCCACCCCCACCCCATGGACACTTTTAATAAAGTTTTGACTGCTTATTAGGGATGCATGATATTGGATTTTTGGCCGATATCCGATATGCCGATATGTTAACACTTATTCGGCCGATAACCGATGCCAAGTCACAACGGTGAGAAGGCACATGTGCAAAGTATGTGGTAAAAGTTTCATACAATGTGTTGATTTAGATGCCAATATTTTATATACTTTCCTTTGTCAGAACATAGTCCTCTTATTTAGGCTTATTTGCTACAAAAATTGTGCAACAGCTCTACGCGCTGGTGACATTCAGTAACAACCATATGCATAGCACTTTAACTTATATTAAATTAAAAATGTTAAATGTTATTTATTAGCATTAGTCACCTGTGATGCTGTTTCACTTGTGGAGGCTTGTTCCAGGTTCCTATAGCTGCAGTGTGGGATCCTCTGCACTCCTGTGCATGAAGGACAGACTTTTTAAGTTCAAAGTTTTTGTCTATACATTGTGCCGTAAGACTAATCATGCTAACGGGGCTAACACGACGTCCAAATATCTGTGATAAAACTCACCCAACAAGTTGTGCTATCGGCTGTTAGCTTCTCAATTACGTCGGAAATGACGGCTTGTAACTTGAGTAACGTTACGTCAGAAAAATATCTCCCGACTGCGGACGATGTAGCGAGGATCAACATAGTCCATAAATCTCCGGAATCCGACATCCTCACCAATGAAAAATAAAACTTCCACACCACCGACATTTTGAAATTTCCTCTCCGCCGTGAGATCGGATAGGCGCACGTGACATCATCGCGTTACACTTCCGCTGCAACGTCATCACGTTGTGCAGCAATGTCATTGCGTTGTGCTACAGCTGCAGGCAAAAACAGTGCCTTTTATAGCAGCAAGTTATTTTAATGGAATGGCCGATGTTCGATATTGAAATTTAACGCTAATATTGGCTGATACCATGCCGATAATATCGTGCATCCCTACTGCTTATATAGTTATTAACGGTCGGTGGACACACGCGGCTGAGTAAAGTAAAAGTAAAGTATGGCATAAACAAATTTAAAAGGTAACGGATCATTGTCATACTTGGTTTATTTACCTAATGACTGTAATTGCTGGATGTTGGGCTCCTGAGCTGCTGGCTTCAGAAACTGTGGCCTCCTGAGCAGTTTTATTGAATAGCCCTGGTGTACTTGAACAAGACACCTATTCTCAGGCGCTTACGTGTGACGAGTCAAATGTAGAGCACACATTTTGTTGTTGTTGGGAATAATGACTTTACATAAATATAACTTTAACTTTAAAATCATGAAAACAACTCAAAGAACATAAAAAATAAAAAGGAGGCTGCAATAATTGATTAGTTTGGTAAGTGACTAATTAATATTTTCTGTCAACATCTGAAGGCCTTCTGGCACCAAAACATGATGGACTAAAACACCCGTCTTACAACTTCTCTGCTGACCTTCTTAAAGTGTCTGCTCAGATAAACATGAACTAAATCTGTTTTTGACTAAATAATTCAGAATCTTCATGTCCATGATGCGTCTAAAAGGAAATGAGTACTGGAGACTTGCTACTTCCACTGAAAACAGTTCCTCTCTCTCTCTTTTTTCTTTAGAACTTCAGCAGAATTACAACTGGAAAGAAGACGAAGTTCTCGCTGAGTTGCAGATCAAGAACCAGGAGTGGAACTCTGGTTTTGGCCAGGAGGATCCAAAACCTCCAGCAGGAGATCAACAACCTCAAAAAAGTGAAGACCAGGAGGAACAACGAGTACAGATAAAAGAGGAACAGGAGGAACCAGAACCTCCACAATTGAATCAGGAACAGGAAGAATCAGAACTTCCACAGACAACAGGGGAACTGGGAGAACCAGAACCTCCACAGATGAAAGAGGAACAGGAGGAACTCTGTATCACTCGGGATGAGGAGCATCAAGTTTTGAAGCTGGAGGATGAGACCTTCATGGTGACAGTTGACTTTGAGGAAAGAATCCACAGGGAACCAGAACCAAACTGGGACCAACTCCCTTCACAGAACTTTCCTCATACTGAGAACCAAGACCAGGAAGATGTAGGAACTTCTGGAGACAGAGAACTAAACCCCAAGAACCGACCTGACAGAAGCCAAAGTAGTGATGTGAAAAACTTTTCAGGAAATCTGTTTGATCCTGAGGCTGAAGGGAAACCTGTAAAATGTGATGTTTGTGGAAAACGCTTTAGGGATAATCATCAAATGAAGGAGCATAGAAGAATCCACACTGGTGAGAAGCCCTTTACCTGTCAAACATGTGGAAAAAGCTTCTCTTTAAAAAGTCGGTTAACGATTCATAGAAGCACCCACACTGGTGAGAAACCATACTCATGCAAAACATGTGGTAAAAGTTTCACTAAACGTCAAATAGTGATCCACATGAGAAGTCACAACGGTGAGAAGGCACACATGTGCAAAGTATGTGATAAAAGTTTCATACGACGTGTTGATTTAGTGGGCCATATGAGACTTCACACTGGAGAGAAGCCCTTTTTGTGTAAAATATGTGGTAAATGCTTCACTCGAAGGAGCGGTCTGAAGATTCACATGAAAACACACACTGGTGAGAAGCCCTTTTTGTGTAAATCCTGTGGCAAACGCTTTTCTTTGAACTGTACTTTAAAAGCCCACTTGAGAACTCACACTGGTGAGAAGCCCTTTTCCTGTGAGACATGTGGCAATTGCTACTCTCAGAAGAGCAGTTTGATCAAACACATTCGAACTCACACCGGTGAGAAGCCCTTTACCTGTGAGATATGTGGCAAGAGCTTCTCTCAGAAGATCCATCTGATCAGCCACACTAGAACTCACACTGGTGAGAAGCCATTTTGCTGTGAGATATGTGGTAAAAGTTTCAGCCAAAAAAGGACTTTGAGTGATCACATGGAAACTCACATGGGTGAGAAGCCCTGTACTTCCTCTAAACCTCTGCTAGAGCAGCTTGTTCTGAAGCAGGAGGCCAATACCTTCATGGTGACGTCTGCCCATGAGGAACGGGACCATATTAAACTAGAACCAAACTGGGATGAAGTCCTTCCTGAGATCAGAGACCAGTTAGGTTCAGGACCATTTAGAGACCAAGAACTAAACCCAAAGAGTAGCCCTGACAGAAACCAAAGTGTTTTAGAGACACGGTGTGAGGCCCAGATGGACAGAAAAATTGCTAAATACGATATTTGTAGGAAAGGCTTCAGCAGTAAATATAGGATGGACATTCATCGAAGAGTCCACACTGGTGAGAAGCCCTATGCCTGCACAACCTGCCAGAAAACGTACAAACGTAGAGACTACTTGTTGAACCACATGAGAACTCACACTGGTGAGAGTCCCTACACATGCAAGGCATGTGGTAGATGTTTCTCCCAATCTAGTCATTTAACATCTCACCTGAAGACTCACACTGGAGAGAAGCCCTTCTCCTGTAAAACCTGCGGCAAATGTTTCTCTGAAAAACATATTTTGGCACGACACATGAGAATTCACACTGGTGAGAAGCCATTTACTTGTGAAATATGTGGCAAGTGCTACTCTCAAAAGAGCCATATGACCACCCACAAGAGGACTCACTCTGGTGAGAAGCCAGTGCAAAACATGTAGTAGAAGTTTCCTTTAGTCTGGTAATTATATTTTGGTTGGACACATGAGAAATCATTCCGGTGAGAAGCCCTTTACATGTCAAACATGTGGTAAATGCTACTCAAAGAAACAGTCTCTTCAACCACATAAGAACTCACACTGGTGTGAAGCCCTTCACCTGTAAAACGTGGCCAATGTTTCTCTGGGAATTATCTTTTGGTCGGACACATGAGAAGTCACACTGTTGAGAAGCCCTTTTCCTGTAAAGTGTGTGGGAAAAGTTTTGCTCAGAACAGCTATCTGACCGTCCACATGAAAATACATTTAGGTGAGAAGCCTTTTTCCTGTAAAACGTGGTAAAAGTTTTACTCGAAGGCAAAAGTTGACGTCCCACATGAAACTACATGCAAGAACAGAAAGTCAATAAATATTTCTTGACAAATGAACGAGCTCTCGCTCCACAACCTTTGCTGCTTCTTTTTCTGTTTCCTTTTTTTTTTGGTCTATTGCCTTGGACGTCTTTGTCTTTTGTGTCTTGTTTTTTTTATCTAATTTTCGTTGTTGTTATTTTTAACTGCTTCCCTTTTTTGTCTCCATATTGGACCCTTTCCTTGTCCCTCTCTAGGCTCTCTTCCACCTGCTCCCCACTCCCTCTTCAGAACCAGTATTAAAGGTTTGTTCTTTTACTTTTTTGGTGTGAAATCAGAATGGTAATGACCATGATGTCTTTTGGCTGCTTCTTGTTTTAGTGTCCAAGTTGGACCTTTTGCTTCTCCTTCTCCAGGCTCTCTTCCACCTGTTCCCTACTCTCAGAACCAGTATGTCTTGTAGATAAATAAGTTTTATCAACACATTTGAGCTGAAATGGGAGTGCTGATGATGACCTCTATGTGACGTCTTAATCATAATGAATCATAGGGCAGGCGGTGCTGTGAGTTCTGCTTCCTGGTATGTTGAGTCTCTGTCAGAACCGAACCTTCATTTTAAAGTTAAAGATTGTTCTCACTGATCAACTCCACAGTCTACATCGAGATTCTTGACCCGTTTATTAAATCTGCACCTTTTATTTCTTATGACTGTATCCAGTCTGTAATAAATCACTTAAATAATTATTGACGTGTGATTAAATGTTTTCTTCACGCCTTGTAGAGTTGATTCTGTTTTTCTTGTGTAAAATTTTATGTTTCATCATCATAACTTTTTGATCCAACACAGGCTGAAGTAAGTTTTAGGTGGCAGTTAATTTACGGTGTTAACGTCCTGTTTTACAGTGCATCTGGAAAGTATTCACATTTTTTCAACATTTTGTTATGTCACAGTCTTATTCCTATTTGTATTAAATTAATATCTCCCCTCAAATTTCTACACACAATACCCCATTATGACAATGTGAAAAAATATTTTTGAGATCTTTGCAAATTTATTAAAAATAGAAAACTAAAAAATCAAATGTACATAAGTATTCTCATCCTTTGCCTTGAAGTCTAAATTAGCTCAGATGCATCCTGTTTCCACTGATCATCTTGAGATGTTTCTACAACTTACATGGAACACCCCCCACCCGTGGTAAATTCAGTTGATTGGACTTGATTTGGAAAGGCACACACCTGTCGGTGTACAAGTTCCCACAGTTGACAGTGCATGTCAGAGCGCAAACACCAAGCACAGTCCAAAGAATTGTCTGGAGACCTCCGAGACAGGACTGTGTTGAAGCACAAATCTGGGGATTGATACAGAAACATTTCTTCCTAGAGCTGGACATCCATCTAAACTGAGTGATCGGGAGAGAAGGGCCTTAGTCAGGGAGGTAACTGAGAACCTGATGGTCAGACCTTCATGCTTGTTCAAGATGAGAGTTCAGTGATGGAGTTAAACTCAAAGCTGCTCCTCAGATAAATAATGTTCAATTATTATTTTTATATAAATGAAAGTTTCTGTTCAGTGCCTGAGACGACTTCTCTTTTAACTTGGCGCTATATAAATAAACTGAACTGAATTCCAGGCGTCATGTTTGGAGGAAACCAGGCACTGCTAAGCATCAGGCCAATACCATCCTATAGTGAAGCATGGTGGTGGCAGCATCATACTGTGGGGATGTTTTTCAGCAGCAGGAACTGGCAGACTAGTCTGGAGGGAAAACTGAATGCAGCACTGTACAGAGACATCCTGATGAAAACCTGCTCCAGAGCGCTCTTGACCTCACACTGTGGTGACGGTTCATTTTTCAGCAGGACATCAATCCAAAGCACATGGCCAAGATCTGAACGGAGTGGCTTCAGGACTGTGGTGGATGGGCGTGGTTTTGGATCACGTCCTGTCGGTAGTGACGGTAAGATCACCTGTTAGTGAATTAGTTAGACAGTTGATTAAGCGCTTGCCTTTGCAGGTGTTTTGAGTTAATTAGCCAATTAGACTGTGGCACCAGGTGTCTTCAATATTGAACCTGTTCACAATATTCTTATTTTCTGAGAGACTGAATTTGGGGTTTTCATTAGTTGACAGTTATAAACATCAACATTAAAAGAAATAAACATTTGAAATATATCTGTGTGTAATGAATTAATATAATATAGAAGTTTCACTTTCTGAATGGAATTACTGAAATAAATCAACTTTTTCACAATATTCTAATTTTATGACCAGGACCTGTATACATGTTAAAAAAAGTCAAGTCACAAAAATGTTAAAGTGAGTGCACCTATCAGTTGTCTTAATGACTGTGAATACTGGAGTGTTCCAATATATTGTTTGAATTTCTCTTTAAAGACTCAGAAGCAAGGGTTCTGATTTGAGAATTTAGATTTATGTATAGGGTGCTTCCTCTCAGCGGGCAGGTTACCGTGCTTCACGGTCCGGGGGTCTTTCTGGGTGGAGTTTGCATGTTCTCTCTGTGCTGCGTGGGTTTTCACTAATTACTCCAGTTTCCTCCCACAGACCAAAACCATGAATGTTAGACTGACTGGTAACTCTGAATTGTCTCAGGTGTGAACGGTTGTCTCGTTTGTCTCCATGTCCCTGTGATGGACTGGAGACATGTCCAGAGTGCAGGGTGTCCCCCGCCTCTCACACAGCGATAGCTGGATATGGGACCCCCACAACGCAGAAAGGAAGAAGCTGGTAAAGATGATGGAAGGATAATGTATGGATGTGATATTTGCAACTAATAAAATTAGGTTGATGATATGAAAATGGTTTGTTTTATTAGTGGGACAAGAGAAGAATCCAGACATGTTTACAAAAACAAGGGAAAAGTCATCAAGAATATTTTGGGGAATAAATGTGCAAATTGCCAGAAAATGCATGAGAAGGACATGACCAGAATAAATGACAGAGATCTTCTTCACAGAGTTGCAGAATGAGCAGTTCATGTCCGTGTCCTTTCTGTTTCTTTGAAGGAAAGACTTGCAGCGATAAAAACGACGGATTAAAAGATATTGATCTTATTAATAATCAAATATTTAGGTGGAAGACACCAGATTTTTTTCCAGTTCAGGTGTGATGCATGTTATTCCAACTTTAGATAACATTTGGAACAGAGACCATGTCCTTCTGGAATAAGGCACTTGTATAACTTATAACTTTGCACTGATAAATCGCCCCGATTTCCTTACTTTTGGGAAATCGTAAATCAGCTGATACGTGCATGAGAAACCGATTTTTTTTTATTTTAACAACAATTGTCTGAACTTCATTTATATTTCAGAGCACTACCTCATGGCCTGTTAAAATAAGTTTGTATAGTTTCTAGGATCCAGTCCCCCAGCAAAAACAGAGTAATGTTGTGTATGCTGTTCAGTGTCAGGAGGGTGATCAGTCTTACATCGGGGAAACTAAACAGCCACTGGCCAAAAGGATGGACCAGCACAGAAGATCAACATCATCAGGCCAGGACTCTGCGGTCTACACTCATCTCCAGGCCAGAGGTCACTCTTTCAGGGATGAAGATGTTCACATCCTGGACAGAGAGGAACGATGGTTTGAGAGAGGAGTAAAGGAGGCCATCTTTGTGAAAAGAAACCGTCCATCATTAAACAGGGGTGGAGGCCTCCAGGTTCAACTGTCCCCCTCTTACAATGCTGTGATTGCTAGTATCACTCAGCCCTCTGTGAACAGTAAACAGCCATCAGGTGCTAATGATCCATTGTTAGGCTGATGGTCCTTCTTGAGCATGTGATCAGCTGGTTCTGGTTGTCAGCAGCAAACTGGTTGATCCACTCTGAGAAGGTGCTATTTAAGAGACTGAGCTGAATACAGCGCCTCAGACTGAGGAAGTCCTCAGGATGAGAGACGAAACGTTTCTACATTTTTTTTTGCTTTGTTTTGTTTTTTGTTTTTTTGAATGTCCAGAGGACCAGATTGAACTTTTTTGGATTTTTCTACCTGGATTATTGAGCATGCATCAGGATATTTCTAGGATGTTGTTCAAGGGGATGTTTTTCCATAAAATAAGATGGAAGGTTCATTGTGACCTGACAACACCTGACAGTGTTGCTTAAACTAAATCAGAATCGGCAGGTCAGACAATTTATAAATCTGTGCTGGGTCAGGACTCGGATCTCATGCAGTCGGTGCACCCCTAAATAAGGCACGGGTTAAACTTTCTACTTGTATCGCGTCACAGTTTTACGTCACCGGAAGTGCAGGCGCTACCAACGTTAGCATCGTTAGCTCTGTGTGTGTGTGTGAGAGGTGAATGTTTGAGTGTGTGCAGCAACAATGTCTTCAGTTCAGTCTCTGAGAGAG